GCTCGAATAACCATGTTGCACTTCGGCTTCAAAAGACAGTTGAAATTAAATCCTGATGTTTTATTGCCCAGTCATGTGGTAGGAATCATCCAATCAGACACGTTGTTAGAACAAGCGGTATCATATCGTTTGAGATTGCTCAAACAGTAACGATATGAACGTACATGTCAGATACGGATGTAGCGCATTATGACATAATATTACAAGTGGTTTATTGTTCGATGTAAGAGGAAGGGATAAAATAAATAATACATTAGAACGTACTTTTTAAACGTCATATGCGTCGAAGTTTTCCTATGTGATGTATTAGAGAGTTGACTTAGTATACAGTAGGTACATGTCATCTACATCACGTGTTATTGGATTACGACAATGGTCTATGCAGATAACATTGAAGGGTAAATAGAACGCACTCGATGTTGTCTAACCACCTGACAGTAACAATTGTGTCCAGTCCGAATTGATGGATCAGGTTGTTGATACCGGAGCCGAGCGAACGTTTAGAGTGACCATTCTCGTCATGGCCTAATTTCATTAAGGAGTGAATTAGGGAACGACACGCAAAATATCTAGGGTGTTTTCGACTACATCCCAGACAGTCCATCGGCGATTCTGAACATTCTGACCCAACTTAAATCTTATTATGTCAATTTACATCATGTTATGTTCTGTGTACATTAACGGTTGGTCACGACCACTCATACCTTGTACGACGGATGGGAAGACTGTTCACTGTCATATTGAATTTGTATTTCATTCCACACAAAAATCCATAATCAATACTTGTTTCTGACAAGTCATCAAATTCTTCATAGTTTGATGGTGTACCACGCAGGTATATGTATAATGCCTGTAAAAACATTAACAAAAATAATGGCATTGCCCCGAAGCACTTCACTTCTTCTAAGCTCTTAAGGACATTGTTTATTTTAAACTCCGAAGAAGTCAAAAGCACAAAAGCAATGCCGTTGTTCATTGTTTTTTTGTTTTTGATTATAATATATTCTTACAAAGGAACAATTATTTTGGTGGCGGAAGAGTCCATGCCGTCACCTTATCATGTTGTAATGATTTAAAACAGCGTTGAAAATTATTCCACATGTCCATGTATGACGTCTGATAGCTCGGTTACACGGCATTTCCATGTTTATCGCGTGCGTTTTACAGTCGTTACCGACCACGCTGCACAGATAATCAACAGCGTATTTATACGCGGATGCAGTCCATTAGTAAATCAAGGTCATATTCGACAATCACAACAGACGGGTCCTAAATCGAAATATCACAGAGCCGACATATCTGTGACATGTCAAAATGCTAACACATGACTTATAATACTTACAATGTAACAAAAAGTATTATTTCACAGGTTTTGAAAACCCATCTTCAGTTCACATTTAATTGCAGATATCATACATTATTATTATTTTTGTTCGCTCTAATCATGTCTGCCATCTCTGTGAACGCTATGATTCCCGGCTACGGTTGTGTCCCTCTTGGAGCTGTACTTATATTGATGTAGACTATGGGTGACCCTGTCTGATTGTAAGAGTATGTCACCTATCAGTCGAGCTAGACAACCCTTGGGTATGTTTAGCTTCATCGTCATCACGGTTGATAATGGACGTGAATATTTCCTATTTGTGGTGTGATATTTTACAAAGAAAGAGACCTAATGTGGAGGGCGATGGGGCCGTTATCACTTTCTAATGTGTCTGAGAAATAGGACATGCTTGTATGTGGTTAACAAAACTGACCTGGTTTGTTTGAATTCATATCTTATCCCCAAACATTCAGCGCTGCTTTTTCTGTACAGACCTATCGATAATGACAGTATTGAGAAGATGTAATACCTCAAAATAGCCTTACGTTAATGATGAAGAAGAGACATCGCGTAATACGCTGTTAGACTGCTGTTTGATGAGCTTTCCAGATAATTTAAAGCCGAGCTATGGAAGCTCGACACGAGATGATATAACCAAAATCACCGCCCTGACAATAATCTATTTTTAACATGCAATCAAAAAACACAATATTTCATTGTTTCTCGTTTGTTTTGCAAACATTAATCTAAATACCAGCGAAAGTAGAATTGTGTAACACATTTTAATTGTGTATGTCAATCCCTTCTGGAAGATGATAAAAAAAATCCAGAGTTTTTATTTTGACATTTTATTATTGTCAAGACGTTTTCACAATAAAAAATAGTTATTCTACATAATGTAACAGTACGTGTCTATACATTTTAGTATATTGTTGGTGAACATATCACTTTGTATATTGTTCTGCCGTGCAGTACTCTTTTATGAGTGATTTCGCCCTGCTGTACATGTTTTTCATTCATTTGGTACAATAAACATGATAAACTAGGGATGCCATCGTATTGGAACTCTGTTAGCCAGAACATTTAATTATTTCATGTGGCTTTTTAACATTCCCTCAAACATATTTTTGCTGCCATTTGACCTTTTCCATCTGAACACTTTTATACTTCATAGGTAACTGAAGAAGCGTATTATTTCAGTTATTATTTTTGCTTTTATTAGTTGCAGATGTCATTAAATACATGACAAGTAACACTGCCCTTGCCAGATCCTTGAATTATATCACTTTCAGATATATCGACGATATGTCTTTTATTAGGTCACCTGACAAGTGACCTATTGCGATCGCCTTTTGTCCGGCGTCGTCCGTCGTCCGTCGTGCGTCAGTAAACAATTTACATTTTCGACTTCTCCAAAACCCCTGAACCAGTTTCAATGAAATTTTGATATAACCTTCCATGGTCAACGGTCAACTAAAATTGTGAATGATATGGTCCCCAGCACCCAGGGGCCTGAGTGGTAAAATTGACTAAAATTTCAAAAATCTTCTTCTCAAGATCCAGATATGGTAGAATCAAATACTCTTCATAGATGTAAGGGTCCTAAGGTGCTTTACTAAAATTGTTTATTTCTTGACCCTGGGGTCTCACGTTTCCCCCTGCGGAGGGGGTAAACTTGACTATAGTTTAAATAGGGAAATCACATTTTGGACTAACATTTGTTTAATTGCCATTGGAAGTAATTCAATTTGGGTTAGCATTATCAGTATTGGATAGCAGTTTGATGGTATGCACATATCAGCCCTGACTGACCCCCTGGGGCTGATGGGTGGGGCCAAAAAGGGTCGAATTGACTGAAATGTAAATAATCTTCTTCTCAAGACCCAGATATGGTAAAATCAAATACTGTTCATAGATGGAAGGGTCTTAAGGTGCTTTACCAAATTTGTGAATTTCATGACCCCGGGGTCTTACGTTTCCCCCTTGGGAGGGGATAAACTTTACTATAGTTTATATAGGGAAATCACATTTTGGACCTACATTTGTTTAATTGCCATTGGAAGTAATTCAATTTGGCTTAGCATTGTCAGTATTGGATAGCAGTTTGATGATATGCACATATCAGCCCTGACTGACCCCCAGGGGCTGATGGGTGGGGCAAAAAAGGATCGAATTGACTGAAATTTCAAAATCTTCTTCTCAAGACCTGATATGGTAGAATCAAATACTCTTCATAGATGGAAGGGTTTTTAGGTTCTCTACCAAAATTTTGAATTTTATGACCCTAGGGTCTCACGTTTACCCCTGGGGAAGGAGGGGGGGGGCAAAATTTGTTATGGTTTATAATGGCAAATGATACTTTGAATATTACATGTTGATAACTTGATTGAAATTATAACCCTAAGTTGACAATTTGATACTTTGAAAAATTTGAGCCATCCCTACCCCCAAGGGCTGTAGGGTGAGACCCAATGGAGTCCGTGTGCTAAAATAAAATTTCTTCATTTTCCTTGTTTAGAATCAGAGGTGCTAGTTTCAAATAATTTTCAGTCTTAAATCTGCATACTAGATATTTAATAATGTGGTTTTATTGTTTTTTTGTCACTTTGAATAATATTTCTGTTCATGTTTAAAACAAAAATCAACTCTCTGTATAACTATATCAGGTGACCGTTAAGGCCCATGTGCCTCTTGTAATTATAAGAAATTGTATGACGAAGTCGTTCGTAAAACTGTATCCCCAACACACTTCTAAATCAGCAAGTTTAACAAGACCAACCAGGAAGGTTTACTACTTAGCTGTATTATAAGCGTGAGTTTTCTATATCATTGTTCAGATCGTGACCTTTCTCTTTCTTGATAACAACCTACATACATGTACACCCTTCCAAACGATGTTTCGGTTGTTTTCATTTTCTCGTGATTGCTCCAAATTTTGCGATTTACGTGAGATATATCTTGTGCTGACAAACAAACCTGCATCACGGGGTTTTATAAATGCAGGTATACTTAAACGATAAGCAAGGTTGTTGCAAAGAATTAAATATTGATCTATTCTGCTTTTTGACCTTTTTTTTATGCTCAACTGACTGTTTTCCCACATCTACTTTGTGTCCATTTCTACTAATTTGCGAACCTTTATGGCCTTATCATGTCCGCATTTTACTTCTATCTAGCCAGCAATTTCAACAAATTGCATATGTAAAAATTCAACAACATGTTCCCAAATTTCTGGTTTAAAAGCCAATAGGTTCACATATCAAGAAAATATATTTCCTGATTTTCTTAAATCAGTCAGTAAGTATGCGCACTAGGTCTTGGACCCATCGTCTCTCCTGCATTTGCGTCCATATCAATATATTCCTTGGACAAGTTCGGATCTGTAGTTTGTGTTTCCCTTACGAGGACAAATATGTTTCTGATGTCATACATGTACATTGTTAAAAAAAACAAATAAAATGCATATAGCAAATATAGGTTGGGTCAATGTAGTAACTTAATGTTTTGGTATTAACCGGTTATGAGGAAAAGAAGCACACCTCAACTAAAATTATATCATATGCAAGTAGCCACAATATATCTTTAAATCATTGTTAATTCCCATACATTCTTTTAGTGGACAGAACCAACATTATTACATGATCTTTCTAAGATATTTGCATTTGTTTACTTCCAGATCGCGGCTGTGGTCGTGGATGGGGAGGAGCGCACGTGTCACTACAAGTTCGGTGCATACCATCCACAGATATATGACATGTTTACCTGCGCATGGTGCTACACTTTCCTGTTTCCAAAGCGAGGCTTGACAGCACATCCGGCACATCCTTTCCTGTTCCTGACATCCGAGTCGGGAAGAGTTCACGCCCGACTAAATCCAGACGCAAAGAACGACACAGCAAGGACAGAGATTTGCCGAACATTGACGGACGAACAGTGTCAGAGGTGGCAGTCCTGTTGTAACGCTGCGCATGAGTGTTGTGACAAACAATTGTCACTTCCACCACCGGACAATTCAACCTGCCAAGCTACATGGGACGGTTACGGTTGCTGGGGTAAAGAAGCGCCATCTACTGTCAACTATATTAATTGTCCTCTATACATGTCCTACTCTATCCCCACACGTAAGCATTCTTTACCAAATAATCTATATGAATATAATTATTTAATCGTGATAAATCTGATAATGAACATCTGTGAAAATATTTTTTATGACAATTTCTGTGTCGTAAAGATGTTGATATTTACATTCAATTAAATATTTCTGCTGAATATGATACTGTTGAACAACATTTATCTTTGCTGTTAATGTTTCTGGTGGTGTTTCAACTAAATAAATATGTGTGTAAAATTGGTATGTTTCTTTCCGTTAAAATGGTGTGCATTCTCTTTGTGAACGCTTTTACAACAGTATATTTGGCCAAAAAAATATGAAATGACGATTGTTATTGAAAAATGAATTCAAAATGAATTCAAAGGGAGGGAGAATAAAAAGAGAGATAGGTTATTCTGTTACTGGATATATATTGCACGACTTTATCAACAGGACAAGCAGAGAAGATATGTCTGCCAAACTCAACGTGGTTGATGAAGGCAGGGATGTACTGGACGGATTACACACAGTGCTCTAATTATAAGGTGAGTGGTAATTCAAAAGACAACAACAATATGACTGCATCCAACAAAATAACAAAAAGACCGCACTGCAAAATGTAATTCAAAGAATATCCGATAGTTAATTCATTCTGAAAAGCTCATCCGCTTTTCAATTACGAAAATGTTGACCTATGAAGTAAAGAAATATCTTCAGTATTGATAACGTTCATAAAACCGAAAGAATAGTATAAAAAATGCCAAAATGATATCGGTGTCGCACAAGAAACTCATCGACGAAGCAATTTTCTGTGATGACTTTGCTATAAAGAGAAATGGGAACGACAAATTACAAGAATATTAAGACTTACTATGTCTACCAACTATAAATTATTGTGTCGTAGCCAAGTTCTATTGAGACCATTCCCTGAAATTATCACTCAAAAATTGTTTTTCTCATCCTACCCAGACAGGTCAATATCCTATTACATATTCCGCTCTGTTTATCCCTTGTTTTTCAAAGAATCATTATCTCTTCTTACATTTCTCTTTGTAAATTGGATTCGTTGGTAATATTAGTTCGGCCTAACATTTACACAATAAATTGACATACGTTATGTTATAAAAGAGTAGGTAACACACACCCAGGTAATTGCACTTTTAAAATTGGTAATAAATGCAGGATCACAAAAAAATAATTGAGCTGCACTGTACTGCTGTTTCGTTCTTCTTGGAATAGTCAGTGCTGCTAGTGACAAACATGTTGAAAACCATAGTGACCTTTACTATTGTAAAATCGAATGGAAGTGCACGTAAATCTCCTTAATTGTATCAATTTCAAAAATTGGAGGAATACTTGTTGATTCCAATATACTAAGTAAAGTGTGAGCATGACGAACTGTACCACTACTCAAAGAATACATTGTATTACTCTGGCTAATATTGAGTACCAAGTAAAGTGTGAACACGAAGTGCCACTACTCAAAGGATACTCTGTATTACTCTGACTAATCAGTAGTACTAAGTACGGTGTGAACACGAAGTTTCTCTACTCAAAGGATACCTTGCATTACTCTGACTAATCAGGAGTGCTAAGTAAGGTGTGAACCCGAAGTGTCACTACTCAAAGGATACATAGTATTACTCTGACTAATCAGGAGTTCTAAGTAAGGTGTGAACCCGAAGTGTCACTACTCAAAGGATTCTTTGTATTACTCTGACTAATAAGGAGTACCAAGTAAAGTGTGAACACTAAGTGTCACTACTCAAAGGATCCATTGTATTACTCTGACTAATAAGGAGTACCAAGTAAAGTGTGCACACGAAGTGTCACTACTCAAAGTATACATTGTATTTCTCTGGCTAATATTGAGTACCAAGTAAAGTGTGAACACGAAGTGTCCCTACTCAAAGGATACATAGTATTACTCTGACTAATCAGTAGTACTAAGTACGGTGTGAACACGAAGTTTCTCTACTCAAAGGATACCTTGCATTACTCTGACTAATCAGTAGTACTAAGTACGGTGTGAACACGAAGTTTCACTACTCAAAGGATACTATGTATTACTCTGACTAATAAGGAGTACCAAGTAAAGTGTGCACACGAAGTGTCACTACTCAAAGGATCCATTGTATTACTCTGACTAATAAGGAGTACCAAGTAAAGTGTGAACACGAAGTGTCCCTACTCAAAGGATACATAGTATTACTCTGACTAATAAGGAGTACCAAGTAAAGTGTGAACACGAAGTGCCACTACTCAAAGGATACTCTGTATTACTCTGACTAATAAGGAGTACCAAGTAAAGTGTGCACACGAAGTGTCACTACTCAAAGGATTCTTTGTATTACTCTGACTAATCAGTAGTACTAAGTACGGTGTGAACACGAAGTTTCTCTACTCAAAGGATACCTTGCATTACTCTGACTAATCAGGAGTACTAAGGAAGGTGTGAACACGAAGTTTCACTATTCAAAGGATACTTTGTAGTACTCTGGCTAATCAGGAGTACTAAGTAAGGAGTGAACACGAAGTGTCAATACTCAAAGGATACATTGTATTACTCTTACTAATCAGGAGTACCAAGTAAAGTGTGCACACGAAGTGTCACTACTCAAAGGATACATTGTATTACTCTGGCTAATCAAGGATACACGAATGTTACTGTTTTGAAAGATGGATGAATCATATCGCTGTACCACAATAATGTGCAGAATCATAATTGTTTGTCACCAAAACACTATGATAGATACTGAGGTCCTAACCTTTACTTTTATAAGTTTTACGTTACGTTGAATCAGACTTACGATGAAGAAAGTGTGCTTCCCCCCTCTGAAAAGTGTGGGGGTTCCAACATTGATGTGCTGCCTGATGTAACACTTGGAATCTATCTTTTCTTACTTTCGTACTGTTTCATTTCTGTCTTGTCTCCATGACACTCTATGCCTTAAGCTGTTGTGAGGACGTTATACCACAAACAAACATGCATGTTACACTGGCACTTTGACCGTGTACAATTAAGAACAGTGTAATGAATAATATTGATACATATTTAAATCATTTTACAAGTGTGACAGATCATGTGAGTTTGACGTTTGTCATTACGTGAAATGCATGAATTCTAGAGTAACAAAGAACCCATGCGTTGGTAAATACCTCAAACCATACAGTAACAGTTTGTTTCACAATTGCAAAAGACACATTTCCCAAGAGATCTGTGTCCCTATTCATGAAACCGTTATCATGCTCAATTTGTCTTTCTTGTTTTACGCTTTAATCGTGTGACATGGTCAAGAAATCAATTTTAAACATAGCAACAGTATTTGGCATGACGTCTTTTCCAAATTTCTTCTTACATATCATTGACAAAAGATGATCAGTTTAGAAATTTATAACTATAAATTTCTAACTGGCTCAAGGAATTGGATTTTGGCACGGAATCTGGGTTTGAAAATAAGAACGGTTTCATGAATACGGGTCCAGTTCATTCAAAATTGTCTAAAGAACCCCGATTTTATCGTTTATGCAACACAAACGAAGTGCATCCAAAGCAATATCACAACGTCAATATCAGGTTTCTCTACTTTAATCAGCAATGCACACATTGCACCGATGTCACATAGATTCAACAAAATTGTTGAATAATGCCTTGGTTATGCCGTTCTAGATGCAAACTAATACAACGGAAAGCTTATTCAATGTCACAGGCTGATTTGGCAGTTGACGTAGCCGACGTTGAATTTCATTCCATGTTCGATAAGTGAAGGTCATGTGATATTGTAGGCCATGGCCAGTCAAAGCGCGTACAATGTGTGGTATTCCGTTGTCATGTTGCAGCGTAACATGATCTTGTTGATTGAACGTTATGACGTGGGCATGCAGGATGTCATCGCGGTAGCGTGCACCGATAAAACTATCAATTTTCACCAGAGGCGTTTAGACATTCGCTTTTATGCAGCCCCATACCTTCACCAAGTGGACTACGTTCCACGACATAATGGTCCTGAAAACACTCCAATGCGTCGATACAAAGGGCCGGTTTCCAAAACGGCCCCTTCTCTGATTCAAATTTCCTGTTGGTGGTGCATTGCCCATGCCGTTGTGGTCACAAATCTATAAAGTATAAAGATTTAGGTCACTTGGTTTGTTTTTTATGGCTCCTCAAAGTTGTACCTTTCAGAAGCTGTCTAAGTGTTGATAAAATGTGCATGTTATGTAAAATATTAATGAAAATCTAATCAAATGATGGTCACCGTAAAGAATACATTCATGGCATGATTGTGACAAAAAATCATGTTTCCATCGCGCCATTTGGCTGTTTTATGGAAGAAACAATCTCAAAAATGCCATTTTCGATGATAACATTTTAGACACAAAAACTGTGTTTTTTAGAGAATACACCCTTTTATGGGCGTTGGATGCAAACCAATTTTTATCCTATTAAACAGTACGTAATATGCTATTGATGAGAGGAAAAATCATCAAAATGTAAGTGGTGGAACATTTTCAAATGTTGGGTTGAATTAGCCTATGGTTGAATTGCCGATTTTCGACTTTCTTTAGATAATTAACAAAAAAACGAGAGTATTTGCTCGGTATGTTGAGAATATGTACACAGATATGAAAAAAAGTGAGAGAAACACTTTTTCATAAAAAAAATCCAAGATGGCTACTTCACAAGTCCCCGTGGTTGAAGACATTGGCTGACAAATAGACAGAACAACAAACAAAACGTGTTCCTTATGATTTTGGTTGGTTTTCGCATTTACGGGAGTGTTCATAGCTACGGGCGATTGTATAATACCTATATTTATAAGTTTGGTTAGTCACATGGTAACGGGGATCTTTCATATCGAGCCCCAAACATACTTTCGACATATGCACTCCGTTGCCGCATGGAAAACTATTTCAAGTTTTGTCGGAATTTCTTTACCTGTGGTTGTAATGGTCGAGGGTTTTCCAGCGTCCTGTAATACCCAAGGTAGTACAAGATACTGGAGATGTGCGCACACATTCCCATCGTTCTCTCTCCAACTGGGCACTGGCAGTAGTAGTCCTTTATTGGGGCCTCAACATCGGGTGAAACGGTGAACCGTATCCAAACGTTATATTTCGTTTGGCTTTTGTGTCGAGAATGTATTTGACATCGGAGAAGGTCTGGGGAGTGCTGGTAAAGCCACACCTCATAGTCTCCGTCATCACTTAAATGTTCGGCGATGTAACCAGGAGCCAGAGATATCTGATACGTTCCACACGTAATGGTTCTCAAGTAATCAAGATCGAGACGGGGAAACAGTACGGAAGATGCATCCATCTTGACAAACTCGGACCTTGCCCGTCTAGATAGATCCGGATCTGTCTTGACTCTCTGAGCTAAACCATTCGGTGTTGTCAAACGGTCCTTCATACGTTCAGCCATTAGCCTATCTTTGGCATCTCTCTCTGGAGATCTCTGGTAGATCGGTCCTCTAATACCATTCAGACAGGCTGTGACGGTTCGAAGCAAAGCCTCGATGACATTGATAAAGCTGTTAGACACCAA